TAACATGAACAATTATTATAGTATTTATTAATGATATCAATAATCTTTCATATAGATTTTATTTTCATTTTTACTAATATTTATTTACAGATTAAAATGTTTATATAACTAGACTGCGAATTTTATGTATTTCTATACTATATAATTGCAACAAACAATATAAAAACAATTTGAAATTTCGCGAAATTTTTATTTTAAACCTAACGGTTTACTTAATAATGAAGAAAATATATTTCTTATTTGATTCTCACTTTTGTAGATTAATCCATGAAAATATAAATTTGAATAAAATTTCGCAGTCTAATTATAAGTCTTTTTTCATAATAAATGGACGAAATTAGAACCTATATTATTTTGATTCTAACACGCTGAACAAATTATATCTCAATAAGTGATGCTATGGCCGTTTATTCAATTGCTTCCTAATAAATGGGATATTATTACTTTAAAAAATATGAATGTTGTAGAGAATGTTAAATATCGTCGTTATCACTCATAGAACTCATGATAAATCTCCGATTTAAAAGACCCTCTTCGGTGCCATCACTCGGGCACAAAGTATTTTCCGCATAAGTAAAATTATTGGTCAACGGTCTTGCACCAAATCTGTTAACATCAAATCCTATCGCATTTTGAGCCATAATTGGCATCCCCCCAGCCCCTAATATACGCGACATTACTACAGTTGGTAAAAGATTCTTTGATATCGGATATTTTAAACCATGAACGGTGCACCTCAAATTGTTGTACTTAAGAACATGCTGAGACTGAGGAATTCGTGATAGATCTTCCGAATAACATTGCGGAAATTTTTGCAAGTCGGGATAGCCTAACCTATCATCAATGTTATAACGTGTTGGATCCTCAGGATATCTTTGAGGATATTTCTGAAGATCAATGGTAAACTTTTGGTCGTTAATACACTGATCATACATTAAATTATTATCCGAACATCTATGATATTCTTCCCTACATCTGTGAGGATACTTCTGTAAGTTTTCCTCACATCTGCACGGATATATCTGAAATTCGGGATTTCCCCTATCTGTCTCGTATTTTATATGTTTCACAGAATCTTGGAAACAATGCTGTAGAGGATACGCAGTAGCATAAGTATCATTAATGTACTGGTGTGAATACTCTGGTAGTTCCTCGGGGTAACAAGCGGTATGCCTTAGGAGACTTAACTCACCGTTTATCGATTCTATTTGCGGTGAATGTTGACCAGTGACAAGGTTGTTCATGGAACCTGTGAGTTCAGTACTGGGATTTGTCTGAACAGTTGTACCATTGGTCTATAAATAAAGAATAATAAACAGTACATGAGAAATTGGTAACATGGATGTTTGATTTGAATTAAATTTGAGTAAGACACTGAATATTTAATTACCTGTGGTTGTACAATCTCCACAGTATTATATGTCTTGCTGTTAGTAATGACGCTATCATCGCTAACCCTTTCTTGTTCTGCTCGGTATTCAGGTGTTACAATACCTCTTCGATCTATAAATGTTGATATTTCCAATGCAGATAGTAGTCATTGGAAAATACATAAAATACTAAGTAATCTCAAGTATTACCTATTAAACTAGGTGGCGCAGGCCCACACAATACATAAAAACAATTTCCACAAATATTTCCTTGACTATAAGGATTAGAACTTCCTTGTCCTACTTTAATGGAAAATGATCCTTTGATCTATAATAAAAGTGAATTCACGTTAATATCTTTCAAAGATTTGAATTAAATCTCTGTGTAAAATGCTTACATCTTCATTGGTTGTTTGATTGCTGGTAGTTAAGTGTGTATGAAAACCAGCGAGGCCCAAAATACTCCAAACAGAGAAAAAGCAAATGACTCCTACTACAACACTTCCGGGAGATAGCCTAACAGCTTCTAAAAATGGCCTCCCATCTCTTGTCACTATAATGAATTAAATCTGGAATTAGAACTTCTCCTATTCGTTTTGAATTTTTTTCAATTAATTTACTTACGCATTATTAAATGTGTAATAGCACAAGCTAGTATAAAAACGCAAAGAAATGCCAAGGAGACAATAAAAGCATAGAAGTATCTATAATTTCTTCTGCCCACACAGTTACCAACCCATGGACAATGATGATCGAATCTCTCTAAGGAAGATAATCATGCAATTGTTTGTTCCAGTCTCACGTAAAAGTAATTTTCATAATGAACAATTTTCATAACTGATTGATATACATACCTACACAATTATCGCACAAACTACAATGCGAAGCTCTTGGTGGTCTGAATATTTTGCAAGTGAAACAATATTTCAATTTTACTGGCTGTCCTTTGACTAATACCTCTTTTGTTCTAGGCGGAGGTCTATGTATTTTGGAGTTACCATTGTTTGGTACCTCTTTATCCAACATGGAAGAAAATATGGTCATTTAAATTTTGATATTATAATTAATAAATATTATAAATTGAATTTCTAATATTATAAATGGTCTCTTGTATACCAATTTGTTTTTCAATGTAGGCAGCTTCATCAGTAGTTGCTCTTGGAATAACTCCAGGATCACTAAAACTTGTTCTTAATAAAGCAGACATTACAAAAATAAATAATAAACCTCCAACAACTGGTATAGCCGGTGTTATGTGAACCGCTAAGAAGGGACAACTAGAAATGAAAAGAATATCATTACAATCGAATCAACCGTAACATTTAAAACTATTACTTAAGCCAAAATGATTTTACTCAAATACAAAGAATAAACCACTAGTTCCAGCAATGAGACACACAGTCACGTAAAAGACCCCGGTTTGGGGTGCCATCATCACCCTGCCATCACAACAAAATCGGTTTCTGCCCGGGAAAAGTTCCCACTTCCGGGTAACGTGTGGCATTTTGTAGAAATAAACTGACTTATATATTGTCTATATATACAAGTACGTAATGCCCAGCTTCTAAAGAATTATCAATTAGGGCCATATAATGTTCGTTTAGTATCACCACGTGAGAACTTAAACAACCATATTTCATCTTGGCCTATCAGAGTTTTCATTGAACTGTAACATGTTCCAAAAATAACAAAACTAACTTTTCGTATTTATTCATTTACATCAACATAGTGATGTGATTTGAAAGTGTGTAAATCTTGGATACCCAAGACTTTTCGCATGCAAGCGTATTCGTGTGGCAATAAAAATGTTAGTAATGAATAAAAATCAATTACGGTATTACCATGTATAAATTGCCTATAGCATGTTGGTATAGTGCTTGGAAAGAATTTGTGCCCCTTGTCAACTTAACCTAATTGCTTCGTTCGTTGGTGAGGTGAAGACATTCATATTTCACAGGAATCCACATTTTAACGAGATCAAAGAGGACTATTTGTTTTCTTCCGCATTCTATAAACAGACATGAACTCACATTCGAGACAGCACAGTCACTGTCTCGCGGAGGCCACCGACTTCAAGAACACTCACTCACTGCAGGGTCATAGCCGAAGAAAATTAGGGGCGAAAATTTATCTGTAAACTAGGTCACCCCGATGTGACACACAAATCACACTTGTGCGCTACCGATATAACCTTTATAGTCGCGATGCACATTACGCTTTAGGAAGCCGTTGCATCGTTTCACTGGATCGACCTCAGTTCGATGACAATAACGTATATATTTACGGGAAAGGATTATTGCCCGTGGTGTTTGCCCGAGATTATCTGTGGTTCCCTCTGACGGGATATGTAGAAGCGCCACGTGATCTCGTTGCCACGTGACCTAAAACCAATTTCAATTTCATCCGTGAACACTTTCCTTTGAAAAAATATCTATTTACTCAGTCAATCCAAACAAACGATTACTTTTAAACTACATATAAAGTTACACTGAATCACCAAGAAACAAATGACTTTATATAACAAACTGTATCATATAAATTTTCAGAATTCCTCGTTTCTATGCTAAAGTATATCAGTTAGTCCTCCACTGTCAACTCCTAATACTTTAAATATTAAATACATTCCATTCAACTCGCATCGCTTTTCATCGCCAACAGTGTCAACCTCAAAATCGCCGTTTCCCTCGGTAAATTCGATAACGGAAAAAACGTTGTGATCCTTATTATGCAAGAACTACATTTCCGGCCTTTATACACCTTACGTAAAGTCGATAAAAATCGATGGAAGGTGTAAGGGAAATTATGAATCGTTCTTAAAGGAATAATTCATTCGAAGTACATAAGACGCGTACATAAGACGAACGAAGGAATATCAGTAATGATCGAAGTAATCCATTGCTCCTGCACGTAAGGGTCCGCGGTTTGCTGAGAGACATGGGATTGATTATTTAACGGTAGGAGGGTGTGCAACTTATCGCTCCCATTGCAAAATGGGTCGTCGACGCAATGCAGTACATCGTCACACGTACGTATGCACACATCGAACGAATTCTTGAAAATCGAAGAATCCCACTATGAACGCCATCTTCGGGTACGTCCGCGAACAGGGCAGTTGCGATCCTAAAATTTTACTGCACGTACAAACGAACCACGTAATGTTGCCTATACAGATCTATAGATCGGACCATCCGGGTTAACGAACCATTCGCCAAGGGGTTTTAAGCGAGTCTACTACGCGTTTCGTTCGATGCCACTCGTGTCACCGTGATATTTCACTTTAACGAACTATACACGAAAAATGGCATTTATCCGTACGAATCGTAACGCGATAGGTAAGAGTTTTAATTCCGTCGGTTTACACGTTCGCGCATCTTTTCCCCGAGAGAGAGAAGGAGAGAAAGAAAAACGCGACGGAAGATGCGCAAACGGACTAAACTTCGATCGAGACGATACTCCATCCGTCGCGACTGGTCACCATAATTAAAAAAGCAAAGGTTACTCGAATTTCTCGAAATCAATATACATCGCCGGCGGCGACCAGACGGAGTGTCTCCCGCGCAGATGAACCGCGACGAAAAATAATCGTAACTGTATCCGTTTAATCCAAGATGGATCCCTAGGTCTTCGCGTCGATTCGACGGAATATTGTCAACGCGATTTTCGTGAGATAAGAAATAGAAAAAAAAAGAAGTTTATTAATTTAATTATTTTCCTCGGTTTTCTAATACCGTGGATTATTATAAAGGTCCGGGGGAAACGTGATTTTTATTAGCAATCGAGATATCAACAGGCACGCCTGGTATCAGACGCGGATAAAGCGAACGAGACATCGCGTCCGGCGTCGGTTGCGAAAAGGACAGTGAAGGGTTGCGTTCAGTTCCACGTCGAGCGCGGAGATTCGCGCGATCCAAAATATTTATCATTTCAAAGATAATCAAGTGCTATTAATGCGCTATGATATCAAATATCCACTTCCATTAGGACGTCTACCAGTTAACCCCTTAAACACCATCCACCGAATGCATTTCAGGTATACCATACCCGCAGGACGTGATTCGCACTCGAGCGTAGCTGATTGCATTAATTAGCAAAATATACATCAAGCGAAACAAGTCTAGCTGCCTAGATGCAAGGTAATATATATTAACACGTTGAATGCTATGGGGGTCACCGGTGACCAACCGGTTAACAACCGTTGATTTGAGAACATTTGTTTAATACAAATGGTTTAATATTATATCTACCATTTTGTGTATCGCGCTCTATGAAATCGTAAAAATTGTCCCAATTCATTGGAACGATCATATGACTCAGGATAGAGTCATAACCCTAGACTGAAGGGGTTAAACCTGAGAAGAAAAGTCGAACGGACAGGTCCACGCGACGCTCGTTCGTAATCTAGCATCGTCGATTCGAAGTACAACCGACGAGGCTAACTTTAAGGGGGCAGAGCGTGATGCATGCGCAGCGTCCGTTTCCGCGAGAAAATTCTGAAAACAGTCCAAGAGGAAAGTCGAACGTGGCACACCGATGGCCCACGCGGCACTCAACGTGTTAAAGGTAGTAGCTGGAGGTTTCGTCGGGGTGGGAGGATGAACGTGGTGGCCGGGTGGCTCGAGGGGCGGGTTGGCACGTCGACGTGGTGCGAGGTGGGGTACGGCGGGGTGCACGGGCATGAATCGTGGAGCGGGCGGATGGACGGACGGACGCAAACGCTGAAATCAGCTCGGGCGATCGATGCGATAAATGGATGCGTGCGATTGGTAGCCGGGAAAATCGATGATGAACAGGGGGGCACCCTACCTAGCCGCGAAAGCGAGCGAGCACGGCTGCACCGCCGGAGAGGATGGAGCAAAGACCGAAATATCGATTTTTAGGCCCCTACGCGGCGGTTCGATGCTCATATCTGCCCCGTGTCCCGTATCCGCGCGAAGCGCCTTTCAAAACACCAACGACGCGTGCGAGACACACCGTGGCGACGCGGGATCCTGTCCAGGAATTATCGTGCGACTAAATAGACGCGAAGGGGTTATAACACCAGAGTGACGCGGCTTCCCGAGCTTCTGACCGATGTCGTCAGGTAACCCACGTTGACAACGGCTGCGTCCCGGTTCTCGTCGGGAGGCAACATTCCGAAGGGGAAGAGGAGCCAAGCACCGCCTCGGACGCAACGCCAGATTTTCTCGCCCGACTCCGGCCCCGTCGGTTGACGTTCGTGCGACGCAACGGGCAATATCGTGCAATCCCACGGCCGTGTGCCCGCACGACACGGTCGAACTTTGGGAATCGATGGAATACGTGGAAACGCGGCAACGATCCGAGATCCTAGCCTGTTCGGCCTTCGTAATTGTGCGACCGCACGTCGGTGTGTCACGCCGTGAGAAACGTCATTCCCAACCGTGATTATTTTCTGGTGCACAGGGCCGAGGATGTTTTGTGTACGCTGCCCGTCGTCGTCGGACGAACGTCGCTAGATCGAGGCGAGGGTGTGAATAATCAGGGTGGCGGAGGAGACGGTGCGTAATCGTCGTATCGCGTTCGGTGCCGACGTGAACCTCGGCCGCGTTCGAACTCGAACGTTGACAGTTCGACCTGACAGTCGCCGTTGTCGTCGGATGGATCGCCCCGGAGAGTCGCGAGGAATATTTAAATAGGGAACGCTCGACGCTGCGGGGTGAATTCGATCGAGGCCGACGGGGATTCTGTCGATCGTTTTCAAAATTCGCACCGGACGAATCGGAAAATCCTATTGGCTCGTCGGTGATCGTACGCGTCGATTATTTGCCATCGATCTACGGAGAGTTCCCTTCGTCAGCGACGGATCGTTCGTCGGCGACGCGGATATAATTACCGACGGTTGTTCTTTCGTTGTTTATTCTTTTGGAATATTTATCGTTTCGATCGATACGCGACGCAGGAATCGCACGAATGCGACGAGAACGCGGGCGACGCAACAGGCTCTATAAGGACGCAAGAGAACCTAAACGGGGACGTGGGAAATATTAAATTGATCATTCCCTTTTTTTCTCTCTCTTTCATGTGGCACAGAAAAAATGGCTATCGCTGCTTCGGATAATTATCAACTCAAGTGGCACAGCTATGGCGCGCATCTGCACAGCTCTGTTGCGACGTTGCTGCACTCAGAATCCTTCGCGGATGTTTTATTGGCGACATCCTGCGGTCGGCACGTGGCTGCCCATCGATTCGTTCTCGCCGCCTGCTCGTCGTATCTCAGTCACATTTTCCAAACATGCCACTTCGGGGCGAACACGAACGCTCCTATAATCGTGGTACGTATAACGCGTTGGAATTCTTGATGCCCGAGTTCCTGTTGACGAGACAGATGAATGATTACGTTGAACATTGGCGGCGACACTTTTCAGTAATACTCTGATGATCACTGACGTACCGTTATCGTTTCAGGTGTTGCCTACGGAAATCGGTTACCGCACGCTGAAGATCCTGATCCAGTACATGTACAGCGGAGAGGCGACCGTCACAAACGATCAGCTGGAAGGCGTGTTAAAGGCCGGCGACATCCTGCGCGTCCGCGGTTTATGGCGGTCGAACACCGGCAGCAAAAAGGAGAACATCCTGTCGAACAATCAGAAGGTCGACCGGGAGAAGCGGGAACAGCCGCCGTTGACGGGGCAGATTCAGAAGATTAAACTAGTTCAACCGACGGCCGAGAAGATCGTCGAGAATGTACAGCAGACAACGTCGGTGCAGAACAGTGTTCAACAACCACAGAAACCTACCTCAGAGAGAAAGAGCGTCGAGAAGGTCGAGGAGAA